AGCAGGGAGCCCGATGTGGGACTCGATCCCGGGACTCCAGGATCATGACCTGAGCCGAAGGCAGCCGCTCAACCAACTGAGCCACCCAGGCACCCCAGACCGGACATTTCTTATGACTCTCCTGAATCAGTCGGACTGCCTTTTCTTCAGAAAGGTCAACACCGACTGCGCTGGCTAATGTTCGTTTAAGCCTGCCTGTGAACGCTAGCCCGCCTCGGGAGTGGCGAGGCGATGCGCTTCGGGTGGACCCGGGCCAGCGGCTGGCTCTGCCCCGATCTACAGCCTGCTTCACCACAGCTTCATGTTCAAATAGCTAACGGGGCCAGCACGCCCCGGCCCCGGGCACTGCCAGGCCTTCTGCGTCCCCCTGCCCAAAGGCCGCGGGGTGGCCCAGAGACCTGGTCCAGGGCTGGAGGCCGGAGCCACTACAGGTGCTCTGAGGCCCCAGGGAGTTGGCAGGCCCACAGGAGGAGGCTCGGAGGCTGGTTCAGTTCCCCCCCTAGGCATGACCACCCGGGACAGCGCGAGCTCCCTGTGCGCAGGGACGCAGCGCCAAGCTGGGGCGCCGTGCCCCAGGACTGGATTCTGGTATGGGCTTACTCGTCAGCTCCCCGCATGAGGACGCAAGCCTCCCAGGTCTTGTGGCCTCCCCGCCACAGAACAAAACCCCAGCATCCGCAGGCACACACTTGACGAGGGACCGGCGTGTCACTGATTTGTCTGCACGGGGGGTGGGGTGGGGGTGGTGTGTGTGTGTGAAGGACGCCTTCCTGTCCTTTATACGAGCATGTACCGTGTCTATTCTGTTATCTGCATCGTTCGCTTTGCCCTATTCCTATTCCTCCCTCTTTTGCCTGGTTTACCGTGGTAGCCATTAGACGGGTCGCTCTGCCTCTGTACTAAAGCCCGCCGCTAGAATGATCGATTTTTGGCGCGGCAAATCCCACTGTATTGCTGCTCTGCCCCAAACCCTTCCAGGGCTCCCTCTTGGCCTGGGGATAGAATGTCCACGCCTTAGCATAAATGCCGGCTCCCTCCCTCCTGCACTGGTCTGTGCTTACCTCACCCCCTCCCCCTCTGTGGACTGGCCTTGCTGAACTACTTCCAGTTCCAGAAAGGGCCATGCTCTCTCTGGTTTCCCAGCTTTTTTTCTTACTACTCCCTCTGCCTGGACCCTCTGTCCCCATTCTCCCTTTTGGCTTGGCTGAGTGAGCCTTCGGCACTTGGCACTGGTGTTCTTTTGTCTTAGTCCTTTGTGAGTTCAGAGCCAGGTCAGGCGCCCCTCCCGGTTCCCCCCGGGGTACCCGCCACACATGCAAGCGCCTGGACACCTGACGGTGAGCTTGAGGGCAGGGGCTGGGTCTTGTTCGGTCGCTTCCCTCATGCCCTACACAGCACCTCGCATAAATGGTCTTTATGCTGAAATGAAAACGTAAAAGTGGCACGAATGACTGGCAGAAAATGTTCGACTGTTGGGCACTGGGCTTGGTGGCTAAAGGGAGCCTCCCGGCCTCTGAATATACAGGCTCGGGAGAGACCATCAGGATGCTAAAGGTTTAGTGCAAGGTTCACGTGCGCTGGGATTAGGTTTCTGAATCTCCGTGACCCAGGCGCTCCTTGGGGGCTATGGGAGCCTGGCACGCTGTGTCACCTGTCAGATCACAGTGCTTCAGTTGTGAACGTCACACTCTCCTCTGAGAAAGCTCTTCAAGCCTGCCTATGTTCATGTTTGACAGAGGTAATTGGCAATTTCTTTGCCAACCCTTCTGTGATTGAAGACTTTAGCAAGGAACCAACACCATGGAAAAGTGCATCTATAGCTCGCTTGAGCTTAACGGGGAATCTTCCTTTAGAAACCCTTTTTGTCAGTATTATCTTGGGCCTTCCCCCCGCCCCCCATTCTTCCTGTGCTCACTGATCAGGAGGCTACAGGGTCCGTGGAGACAGAAGGTAGCCTCATGCACCCACAGCCAGCCTCTAGGTGGCTAGGCGGGTTGGATTTTCCAGTGCACGCTTCCTACTTTTGCTTCCGTCCCTGACTACCCGAGGGCTGGACGGGAGGTTCGCACGGCCGCGATGCTGAATGGAACCCATGGGTGAAGTTGAGAACACCCCAAGCGTGAAGTGGTCTTCTCTCTGCTCAGTGGCCCCAGCCTGCCAGCCACCCAATTCCTTGAATTATCTTAATTCTAATAATATCTTAATTATCTTAATAGCAGTTCTAACCTGCTATCGTACTGCAACACCCGAAAGCATGCTCCCCTTCTCTGCGCGGCACGCGGGCCCTTCGCCTTCATCCGTCTGGATGCGGAGGCCATTCCGCGCTTACTGCACACGGCGGTCACTGAAGGCTGTGCTCGTCCCCCGGCCCGGTGCCTCTTGTGTCCAAGAACCCGGTTCTATTCCCTTAGTTAATTCCAAGGGAAGAACTGGTGTGCTTCTAGGAGATCCAGGATGACTGCCCCCCGCCCCCCCACATCCTGCCTGCCGGGAGGGTCAGAGCCAACCCGCATGCCGATCACAGTAGCTACGGGAGCCTTTTCGGGGCTTTGATTTTCGATTTCTAGCCTATGTTCCTTTCTTTTTTTTTTTTCTGTTGCATTTTCAAAAATGAAAAGACCCCTCACATCGGGACTGAGATTTTCTCATCTGGTAGCCCTCCGATCTTCAGCAGAGTCACCACACATTTCCTCAGTGGTTCCAGAAGGGCTGTGTCCCCAAACTCTACTTACGGGTCTCCAGCAGGGGCTTCGGAGCAGTCTCAGCCTGCCCGAGGCCCAGGGTCACTTGAGGGACAGCAACTAGAATGGCTTCACAAGGATTCCCTTCCCTCAAGCTGTTAATGGAGGACTTCAAGAGGTCTCTAAACCCTCTTCCTTTCTGACTGAAGATGAGACACAAATCTGTCAGTATTCACAGGGAAGGTCTCTGAATCCTAGAGAGGAGGGAGAGTCTACAAAGATCGCTGAAAAGACGGATTCAAACAGCCGAAGCACCATTATTTTAACATTTTAAGTTTTTAGTTCTCTTCTGTGGAGACAAATTGATTTTATGGCTCCTATATGGCTGACAGTTTATCCCTGGTTACCCCCTGTAAGGAACGAAAACAGATTTGACCAAGTATCTATGATGCAGATATCCTGAAGACCGATCTGTTCTGCAAACTTATAAAGTACATAAGGGAAAGTGTCTGAGTCATTTTGTACAAAAATGTTAAGGGGTTAAGGAAGAGCACAGTGACCCCAGAGATCAGCTTTCACAAAACAACCCCGGGCTCAGACCCTGGCTCTTGTTTCCAAGCGTAGATCCCTAACAAGACTAACAAGACTGCAGCTACCCTGGCTACCCCTTGTGGACGACCTTTCCCTCTCTGGGCAAGAACAAATCCACAAATATTCTGCTACTGTGAACTTTTTAAAGCAGCAAATGGATAAACCAGAATAAAATTAAAATCTGAAAACTAAACCATCACGGTAAGGTTCCATGAGAAAGAAGTTCTATATTTCTTCCTCGGCTTTGACTGCCTTATCAATTTTTCTAAACATTACAAAAAAAAAAAAAGATTTAAATCTTACGACTATATACAAGGTGGAGAAGCTTAAGGATTCCCAGGGTCACCTCTTCCAGGATGGAAGAGTGAAAGGAGTCTGGGGCCAACTGTACGAAAACCAAAGCCCAGACCAACGCTGTCCAAGTTCTAACCCCACTTTTGGGTGGTTGTAAAACCTTGCTCGAGTCACGGTTTTGTTACGCCTTGGTTCTTCATCTATGAAAGCTGATACTGATACCTCTGTCTCAGGGTTCCAAGGAGTCGGGAAAGAGTACTCGTGCTTGCAAAATACACAGCACGGTAGGAACACATCCTGTTCTCATTTTAAAAGAAGCTAGGTTACTAGTTTGCTTCTAGTTTAATCTTCTTTACTGTGGCCCTCTAAGTTTAAAGTTGGACCACAGCGTCTTAACATATAGTATTAGACATGGGTTCGATTTGGCCTGACCTGTCTAAAATAAGCTAAGATAGCATGAAATAACAGATCCAAACTCAGTGAGCCGAACACCAGTGTCGGGTGGTCTCCCTACGGCCCACAGGTCAGCGGTGGCAGACGTGAGCAGGCTTGAGAATACCACATGGCATTTCTCCCATTAGGGAGATGTTGATGTACATCGAGGGATGAATTTCATCCTCACCAGCTTCTTATTTGTATTCTAACCTCCTGACACAACGCTTGGAATAGGGTAAGTGCTCCATACAAGCTGGCTGAGTCAAGCTGTCCGTGAGATACAGTGGGGGCCGGGGGTGGGACTCAGACAAGCTGGGGTGGGAAAAGGCGAGGAGAAAGGCGTCCTAAGGGCAGAGCCTCCTGGAGCCGGGCATCCAGCAGGCAGGGCGCCGGCCTGGTCCAGCCCGGGGAGAGAGGGGGCTGAAGGCAGGGCAGCCCGAGGGCAAAGCCTAGGGGGTGCAGACCCCATGGGCATCTGCAGCTGCACGTCCAAGCACCAAGTCTGCGTGGGAGCGGGACCGGACTTGAGTCTAGACGGGGCCAGTGTAGTCCACCAGACCAACGAGAGGAGCAGGACCTGGGCGATCCCTGTTGCTACCCTCAGGGGTGGGGGGGCCCTGGGAGAGAGGAATGCGGTGAGCTCAGCCAGCAGTCAGGGGAGCAGGGAAAGTGCCCAGCCTGAGGCGAGTGGCGCTCTGGTGGCCGGTGCCACTCGTCGGAGTGACCGCTGGGGCTGTCCTGATAAGGCCGCGCGGGGTGTCCCGCTCGGCAGTGCAGAGTGATGCGTGCCTGGGCAAGGGCGCGGGGAGAGCCAGGCGCCAGGAGGACAGCAAGCCCTCGAAAGTGGACTTGGCTAATGCGGAGGGGCGCCGTGGGGCCCGGCAGCCAGCATACTGCTAGACATTACTACCAGCAGAGAACGACGTTCAGGTGAAGACCAGTGTGGAACCCAAGGGGAGGATGGTGAAGACCAGGCCCAGGATTGAGACTCTGCCTCTAGCCACCCCTGGCCAGGAGATTTTTCCAATCCCTAGTAAGGAGGGATTCGGAGTATATTTACTTCTCTATGGGTCCAAGTTAACTGCCAGGTAAACTGGGTGGCATTCCCTGCCTTGACCAGATTCCAAGTTCAAGAACCTCATCAGGTGCCGTGAAGCGGAAACGGGGGAGCCCACTGGCCACGACGACAGGATCTTGGAGCCGAGTGCCTGAGCTGTCAGGCCTCGGGTCACACGGACCCTGCTGACCCAGCTTCCGTCCTCCCTTTGGGGATGGCTAGAGGACCAGGTCTCATAGGGTGGCCCTTGAACAGGGTTTGGGACAGTCAGGGAAGCCTGGTGCAATGGGGCCTGCTTGAGGTGAGATGGTCTGCCATTTGGGCAGATGATTCTATCTGTAAGAGATCGGGATGTGGGGCACAGACCGGTCTTAGAAATGGCAGACCCAGGAGTCACAGCGGCACTGACGAGCCTGTCCTGTAACTCGCCCCGGTGTCTACAACATCCATTTCTGGGCTTTAAGTCCCCCTTCTGCTCAGTTTGCCCTCGGAGATTAAAAAAAAAAAAAAAAAGCTGACAAGCTATTTTTTAAAGTCCTCTCTACGCCCAATGTGGGGCTCAAACTCACGAACCTGAGATCAAGAGTTGGATGCTCTGCTGACTGAGCCCGCCAGGCGCCCCAGCTTGTCAGCATTTTTGACGCAAGGCCTTTCTTTCATGTTTGGCTTTCTTACATGTTTGAGGTGTGGCTTTCTCCTTTTCAAGTTGAATAATTCCTATTGCTTCGAGCTTGGGACTTCCCTACAGATTATCCAGTCATTCCTGTGTCCTCTAAGCTCTCCAGATCCCTCCCAGTTTTAGCCCAGGGTCGGGCATCATCCTCAGTAAAGAGCCGGCAGAGGCTGACAACCAGCGTGCATCTCCAGCCCCACTCCATCGGGCATCCCCTGGGCTCACCCAGGCTTGCCTCCCTAAAGCCCAGGCTGTGTTTCAGACCAGACCCAGGCCCCGGGATCCGAGCTCCCTGCTGCCGATCCACAGAAGATGCTGGCAGAGGCTCTGATGGGCCAGTGTGAGCTGGACTGAGGGGGAAAGGTGGCTGTTGGGATAACCGGGGGCCAGTCTCACCCTGAGGTCACGTTGGTGTCGGGTTTCTGGCAGGCACGGACCCAGTCAGGTACTGTCACGAATCCCGTGACAGCGTACTGTTGCTGCTTAACTACTCGGCGCGTGCACCGAGCCCAGGGGGTGGTCAGTTCGCACTCTAGACCAGTAGCCCCCGGGGCCTGTGCTGCTGATAACTGTTTACGAGGTTAGCACGTGGCCCGTGCCCTTCTGAGGGCAGTTCTGAGGTCAGAAGCCCAGCTGAGCACGCAGGCAGGCTGATGGGGGCTGCGAGTGGCTGCGTGTTACCTGAGGCTCCACGTCCAGGATTGCGATCAGCCCCTGCTCATGGATCTTCCGGATGGTCTCCAGTTTTGTCCCATACATCGCATCCTCGTGGCTGCCATACTCTAGGTACTCATTATTCGAGATGTCTTGCATCATTTGGTCATGAGATACAAAGTAGTAATTCTTTCCATTTTCTTCATCTTTCTTTGGAGGTCTGGTTGTATCTGCAAAGAAAGTCACGTATCATGAAAGGCTCAAAAGGCTGAGCTCATGAGCTGACGCTCCCCATTGCTCCATCTCTTCTTAAAAGCTGTGGCTTCTTTAGTATATGTCTCATGCCCTGTTCCCACCCCCAGGAGCTTTGTAGAACTAACTTCTTGACACCGTATTTATCTGTGTGACATCAGACCACAGCAGCTGGCTAGTTGTTTCGTTTGGTGAATCTTTTGGTGTTCAGATGAGATTTAGCTCATCCCTTCGTGGGTCACCATGGGAGAAAGACACCGAATGACCCAAGATGAACATAACTTACTGTATGCCTTAATGCAGTTAGGTCTTAAGCAGAAGGAAAAAAGCAGTAAGAAAAAAATGGAAAACCACATAGTTATTTAAATTTAAAGAAATTAAAATTAAATAAAATGAAAATGTCAGTTCCTCTGTCTCACTAGCCACAGTTCAAGGGTTCAGTGTGGCTACCGGCTGGTGTAGTGGACAGTGCAGATATTGAAAACTGTCACTGTCAGAGAAAGTTCTGTAAGTTCTGTTGGATAGTGTCGGTCTACGGCAGCGTCCTAAAGGAGATTGTTAGAATACAGCAAAAGGTGTACTACGTTGAGGATACAATGACCTTGGCCAGATGTGGCCACAGCAGTTAGTAAAGACCTATGCCATGAGTTGGCAAGCTATGGCTTGTGAGCCGAATAGGGCCTGTTTCTGTAAATAAAGTTTTATTGGAAAACATCCATGCCTGTTTGTTTCCACGCCGGCTGTCTTTCATGCGACACTGGCAGATTGGAGTAGTTGTGACAGGGACCAGATGGCCGTCCAAGCCTCAAATATTTACTATCTAGTCCTTTACGGAAAAGGTTTGCTGACCCCTGACCTAAGGGGAGGTACCCTAACATACCGGCCAGTAAGTCCTAGTTCTGGGGGGTACCGACAGGACCAGTGTTCTGCAAAACACTGTTTAGAAAATGTTTTTCTAGCCAAGCCAGGAACACTGGTTTAAATCTTCCTTCCTCCCACTACTTTTCCCCTCTCTTTCTTCTTTCCTTCCTTCCTCCCTCTCCTTCCCCCTCCCTTTCTTTCAACTTCCTTCCTTGAGCAAGGACAAATTATTGCTCCTCTCTGCCGTGCGCATGGATCCAAACCCACGGGGACCTCCCCGCCCTTCCTGCCCCAGCTAGACCGTTAGAACCTACAAGTGCTCATGGGCACCCAGATGTGCAGGTTTTAAAGAACTCTTTCTCCAGGCACATGAAAAGCTGATGAAATGGTATTGTGTATTGATGCTGTACTATCCTTAGTCATCTCGGGAGGTAAACATATGCTCTATATACATCTGGGGTCCAATATTTGAGAGAGGGACTTCATGACTGAGGTTGGCAATGGTATGCTTCAAAACCAAGCCAGCTAACTGGCCATTTAATAACACGGACGTTCAATTGTTACGTGATCAAGAAGAAACTAGATGTTAGTTAGTTAAGCTTGCTGTACTCAAGATCTAGACATGAGAATCAAAAGAACAGTTCAAAGTGTTTTACTAAAAATCTCAGAGGGACCAACAGAAATGGTATCTGATGAATTTCCCCTTTTTTTTTTTTTTTTTGTAAATCAGATAGGGTTCTGGAGGGGAGGGTGTCGTCTTATGAAGCCTCACGGCTCTCTGGGGGGGAGAGAAACCCGCAAGTGGTGTTGATGTGGCTTCTGGAAGGCACTGGAAGGCCCTACTGGGTGGAGTCCATCTTCCCATTTTCTCTCTTTGCTCTTACAACTCCTTCTTTAGTTCTCCCCACCTCCAGCAAAACTCTACCTATCAGAAAGCTTTTGGGATTCAAATTGTAAACTCTGGAGTAACAAGACTAAAAACAATGCTAGCAGTAGCAGGGCTGCTATTTATCCGGTATTTGCTGGTGTTTCCTGATCCCAGGCCCTCTGTACATTCCTGGAATTACTTCATCTTATAGTTGAGGAAACAGAGGGCAAGAAGTTAAGGGTAAGACAGAAGAACTAAGGGGAATAAAAATGTTACATATTTAAAATTCTTTATAATAAACAACTGATAGCACACTGGCTTTCCAAAGGGAGGAAAGTCAATTAACTTGGGTACGTTTAAGGAGAACATTGTTCTATCAAAGAAAACTATCCTATCATTCAGACCAGTTCTTCTGAAGAATAAATCATCTGAGTCATGTTTATGCCACTCTGCTGGGAAAATCAGGTTACAAACAGGATGGATGAGCCCAATTTTATTAAAAACAACAACAAACAAATCACACATGACCTACATTTGCAATGAGAGAAGCCTGGGAGAGTCTACAACAGAATGTTTTATAGCACCATTCCTGGGGGAATGGGGTTGGGATTATTGTTAACTCAGTTTCTGCTTTGTTTGGCTTTGGATCTTCCAAATTTCCCATAATGAGCAGCTATTACTTAAGTAACGGAAAACAGTATGTCAATTACAATATTAAAAAACTACCAGGAAAAATAAACTTAAAAGAGAGTGAGACATTGCTTACGTGGAATAGGGTATGCAAACCGGTCTGGGTGCTTTGTGATGAGGGTGTTTTTTATGTGTCTTCTCCCAACACCGTGCGCACCTATGTCGTTTTTAAAAAAGGTGAAATTGACAATTGTTAATAACACTCACAGAATGTTTTGAAGATGAGACTAAGAAAGCCACTTGTACAATCAAACTTACCTAACAAGACTAGTGTTTTCCTTTTGAATGCTGGCAGTTTTACTACTTCTTCATATGTAACAAGATCTAATTGATCAAACACTAAAATGCAAAGAGTTAGAAGAAAGGTAAATTTACAGAAGGAGTATTTCATGTACGTCACTTATAATTTTACTGGCAGAACTAAAGTTATAGTAAACCATGTCTTCAAAAAATATGAGTCCAACTTATATCCGTAGCTTACATGTAATTTTAGTCCTATAACCTTTTGGGAGAAAATTTCAGTTTTAAGCCCATGAAAATGCACTTTAGAACCAGGGGCATCCAAAGATTATGTTGAGCACATGCATAAAAGTCCAGATTCTAAGAGATACTGCATATCTTGTCATGCGGTATCCAACATGTCATACAAAGTCATTCAAAACCACATGCTGTTCATATTTTTGCAATTCTAAGAAATCAGCGATACTAAAAAGAAAAAATCTGCAGACAGTGACCAACATGAATATAGCATGAATGCAACTAAAGTTAACCAAGAAAAAGGCCACTAGATTATCTCTAGGGATGGATGAGAGATGCATGGACAGCTGGTCTTAGACTTCATGGTTCTTTCTTTCAATAGAGTTGCTCAGGGTAGCATGCTAGATTTCTTTCAAAGTCAAGTTCTGTAACTGATTTCACAAGCTTTTGAAACGAGCATCCCACAAGTTTTACTGTAACCCAGCTATCCATTCGATGGAAAGTCTTGGGTATCTTAAGTAGGAGGACATGCTTCCCTGGGCCCCGAACTTTGTCAGCCCGTATGCCATAAGTCAGGATGGACAGAATGGAAAGAAGCATGAAGCAGAGTCTGAGCTCGGAAACCTTTGCAAAAGGGGAGTTCTCTGATCATTACAGACTGAGAAGAAATGCTTTCAAAAATGGTTTTTGGAAACCTGCCTCTTAACAAAACTGTTACAAAAACCTTCCCGAGAGGATGACCATTCCTATTGAAGTTCAAGGTAGTCCATTTGAAAATTCTCACAAGGCGGCTAAAATCAAGAGTCAATGTTTCCTGTAATAGTTTTCTGTGTGGTAATACCCAAATGTTGCCAGGCACACACTGAAATATCTTTTTTTTAAGAAGACTCAATAAAGCTCTAGATTTCAGTGGGGTTGAAATAAATTCAATACTATTGATTCCATGGTGCCGTAAAGGGATCTGGGATGCTTCAGTCAATCACTAAGAGAAGCTTCTCCTCCCTGAAACAATATGGCCAAATGCTTTTTTGGCTCTCAGCTCAGTCCTTAACATTTGTGATCTTCCCAGTAGCAAAGAACCTTAAAATGCAAAATAGGATATTCTTGAGTGCAACAGATCAGAGACAAACAAACAAACAAAAGTATCATTCCCAGGCTATTAAAAAAAAAAAGAAAAATACAATGTGTTAAAATAAGGGTTAGTGCATGTTAATGGGTATCTGTGCCTTTGTTTCCTTTTGATAGCTTGATTCCAGAAAGGTTGACTCGAAGTCTTTAATTCTCTAGCAACAGCTAAAAACCAAGAAATGCGTTCTGTGTTTAGAATGGCAGACTCCCCAAATCAAAACGAACATGAAGTTCTGTGCGTGCTCGAGCTGGCTGGTCATGCTGCAGTGATTATGGAGTGTCAGAGTTGCAAAAAGAAAAGCAGGAGTGCTTACGGCATCGCTTTTTATACCCACTGCCCTCTGAGTGAGGTTTCCATCGAGAAAAAGGATGCTTATGAAAGCGGTGCGTCAACAAGCTGATATATTCTAATATAAAAAAATAATCAAGCATCTCACAAAAGAGCAAGATGATGATGGCACAAGCTTTCGGAAGGGCATCCTACCCACTTACGACTGGTCATTTTTTTTTAGACACACATAAGAATGAGTTAGAGATCAACAATCGACAGCACGGACAAATGAACAGGTATGTTACACATCGATATCTTAACCATAAGCGAGTAGCATGAAGAGGTTACTCTGGTCTAAGTGAAATCAGCACATGGTCATAGGATCGAGAAACAATAAAAGAGTATTTAAAAATAAGACATACAAGGAATATAAGGAGAACACTTAAAGGCTGAACTTTTAAAAGTTTTATGTTGTTTGCGGATTTTTTTTTTTTTTTTTAAAAAGGACTGAATGAAAGGAAACCATCAAAAACAAAGAGGCATAGTCACTCAACAGGTTACTTACATGCACAGAGGCCATTGGGAGTAAGACAGCATGAAAAATGTACAGGGGTCATTGAAATATGGCTTTTAATATATTAGTAAAATAAAAGTATAATATGCACAAAAGAAACTTTACCATGCAATATTCTAAACACGAGGCAAATAAATCACATTAAGAAACAAACTCATTTTAATAAAAATCCAACAATATCCTTATATAAAAGCCAGTGGGTTTTGATTTGCTAGCAATATGCATGGACATCTGGTCTGGGAATAGTTACGAGACACCTTCCTCAGGAAGTGTAGGTGTGGAAGCCTTTTGCTTTTCAGTTTGTACCTTCCTGTACTGTTTGCAATTTCGAATCACAGGTGCCTACTACTTTTATTAAAAAAAAAAAAAGCCAACAGGGCAGTGGGATTGATGGACCACTCTTTGTTGTCTTAAGAGTTCTCTGTATTGAAGAGAAAAAAAGTAATAGTTTTTTAAAACCTATTCAACTACTAGTTTGTGGTATTAAGCATCATTTAAGCACGCCTATGAATGGTATTGTAGAAACCCTCTGGGTTCATGTGTACGTATGTAAATGGACTATCTTGGGATATTGAAATACCACTGCTCAAGGCTCTAACAGTTAAAAAAATGAATTAATGAAGACTGTTTTTTCCCCTCAAGTTTACGTTAGTAACTTGATCTTGAAACTGATTCAGTCCTAGGGCTGAGGAATCTCAGTGCCTCAAGGGCATAGTTCTAGCATCCTGACAATGCTTTTTGCATCAAATTTATGTGGCTAAACATCTTTTACGCGTTGCAGAAAATGTATTCACTGTAAACACTACACATACCACAATCAAATCTATTCCCAAGGCTTCAGAAATACTGTCTGGCATAGTTTGCTCATATTATCCTGATTTCCTGGTAAGCTACTCAATATTCATGACACTTTTATGTGTTTAGGTAAGTATTTTCCAGTTGAATCTTTTCCATAAATAAGCCTTTAGCATCGATTCCTTGTCTCATTTGGAAAAACTGTAAGTATATTCAAATACTGTAAGAACCTCCCATTAGAAAAGGCCTCGCACACTGGTAACTCGGGCCGGGCGTGCACTCAGCTGCCTGCAGCTGCTGGGTGGGCAGTGACTGCGTCTGCGTGTGCGGACCGGGGGCACAAATGGAGCACTGGGTCCTAGGGAATGAGTGTCCAGCCAAAAGGGACATCGACAACCCAGCGGCGCTATGGGAGAAAGGGGGCCTAGTGTCACCACATTTCTCTTTTCTTTCAAGGCAAGGCAGAAACCCAGATTTTTATGTTAAATATCTGATTTTCAAATGTAATACCTAGTTACAATTCTTTCAAATACCGTGTATGGGGAAAACAAAACTAATTTATCGGTCATATCCAGCTAACAGACTGTCATTTTATAATGTGAGATGGAGGTGACATAGCTTGAATAGAATTCTGCTACAGCTAGACACGTGGGATGTCCCGGTGACAGAAATGGGAACAATTCTAGTATCATCGTTCCCATCAGTTCTAGACATTGACCAAGTTCCCATCTTTCATTTTTATTACAAACGTAAACAACTTCAGAATTTGATGAGAAGGTTTGGATCTTGCCATCAATATCTGCTGAATTCTCAAAGATCTGAAGCAGGAAATAAGACACACGGCCCTTATTTGGATTGGACGAGGACTAGAAGATTCCCGCCCCCCACCCGCTGTATTTGACAATCAACTTCTGAAGAAGCCAAAAAAATCCTTCAGAAATACTGTTTGGTTTGTGGCCCATGAGCCCATTTGGCTAGTTCTTGGTATTAAAGAATATGATGTTTCAAAGTTCTCAAAGCACCCGCCGTACTGACGGAGTTCAGTAGTATGTGTTTCTCTTTCACACCAGGTCCTTCCTTATATAGGCCTCGTCACATGTTCGGATGGCCTTTCATCATGGCTCAAGGCAGAACAGCTGATAAAATACCTGACTTCCCTTTCCTGACAACTTCATCTCTTGTCAAGCAAAGGTGACCACTAAGTAAATGGTTCTTGTGGACTTTGTCGTGAACAAAATGGAAGGGTTGGTGGGTGAAGGGGAAGGAGCCTGAAGAGATGGTGACAGAAAGGCCTTGCCAGGCAGCATGCTTCAGAAAGTTCAGGAAAAAAGCTGGACATCTTTTCCCGAGCAGAAACACCAATAGGAGAGCTCATGAGGCTTGATTTGGGGGTGGGGGCAGGTGGTGGGCAGGGGATCCCAGCAGGAACATTCTGACTAGACCATCACAAATACACCTAAACTCAAGTGCTACAAGGAACCATGAGTGGCTCTCCAAGGACCTTATAAGACATTGAGACTTCGCATCAACCGGCGTGAAAGGAGGGTCCCACATGCAGTGACAAATACTGACACACAGAGGGGACCGTAAGCATGATGGGAACAGCTCGGGGGCCCCAAAGACCACTGCTTTGGAAAATGCTGAAGATAACAAAACAGTGGTGCAGGTGGGGCTCCCTCCCCCCTTCCTCCCTAAGTTAAAAATTTACAAGAACTTGGATGGGTCCATGGTTTTGCATAGGAGGTGTAATGTCCGAAGATGATAGAGAAAAAAGCAATTTATTCCATCCCTAGGAGGCTCCTGCCTTCTGTTATCAAGGGCGAGACCCTTCGAACTTGATAGCAGTGTTTGCCAGAGCTCAAGCCTGAGATGAGGGGGCAGTAAATGAGTGCCTGGCTTCATTAAATGCTACCCATTTGTTAGGCCCAGTGAGGAAAGAAGCGGAGATGCCCTGAGTTTTAGAATTAGAAAGGATGTCTTTCACTGACTAACCCAATCTCCTCATTTCGGGGCCCACAGGAGCCGAGTGATTTGCCCAGGCTGCGGGGGCCACTCAGGGGTGCTAATTCCGGACCCTGTCTCACTCAGGTTGCCTGTTAGGCTTACAGGTGTGTTTTCAGGACCACTGAGCACCACCTATGAGGGAGTCGGGCAGGGCGGGGACAGTGGAAGATAGGTCATGGCCGTGGTGGAAGAATGGAAAAAGTGATCTGTGGAAAACATCGGCCGCCAGATTGCATGCTAATTCTCTGACAAAAGTCTTGAGTGAACAAGTCAACGGTTTCTTTGTCAGAATGGAGAGATTCTAGTTTTCTAATCAACTGGCTTCTTCTTTTCCCTCACAGCTGAATTAAAGAATATTGGCATGTTGAATACTTATGTCTACATGTCCTCCATTAGGAGAATATAAAGCTAGTGATAGATTAACAACCTTAATCAGCCATCAATTTGCTTTTCTTTCTAGGTTCAAATTATAATGCCAGCTATATCTATACATCATTTAAAATTATAAAGACGATTAGGTTTTATATATGTATGTACATACATATATAAAATGTCAACACATCTTGTGAGCCTGTTAGAAGCTGATGGAAATGAAGATGACTTGGCAGTAACCACTGACGTTTTGTGTTAAACGACATTCTGCTGACATTACAGTGAACATCTTCAAAAAGTACTACTTGAGCATTTACAATGAACAGTCACTAAATTATGTTTAATCTGCCTTAAATATTTCTTCCCTTTATAAGACAAAAAAAAAAAAAGCCATTATCAGACTAGTGCTCTGTAGTGGTGAAGAATCAGAAAGGATATATTTTATTGGAATTAAAAATGGGGTACAGTGTGGCCAACATGAAGGGAATGACTCCTCATTTAACTGAATCATTTGAAATGAACCAGTGGCCACTCAAGTTCATCCCACGTGATGCAGTATTTCAAAATGCGTACTTTTACTTGCTGATTAAGAAATGAGCAATTCAGAGTTTGTAAATAATTTTCCCTGGTGGATGCTAACTACATGATATAACATTCTAGACAGAAGTGCATTTCATATTTGTCAGAAATATTATACTGCCAAATTGGGTATGCATGACTGCATTCATTTGATTTTTTTTTTTTTTTGGCCACAGGTTTTATTTTTGGAGTTATTTCTGAAACCTTGGGAACTAATCTAATGCCAATATTGGGGCTTGAATTCCTCAGAACAAGTCCCTTATAAAAAGGAGTCCTACTGAGAAGTTACTGAAAATAAGTAAATCCCACTCTGTGTATCAGCATGCATTTCCTTTAGCTTAACTTACATCCCGTGAGTCTTCTGGGAATTCTATGGCAAGGACGGATCATGCTTGGCATTCATTTCAGTTTTTAGCAAACAAGTGAGTATTTTGACTTAGGTTGAACTCAAGTTTTCATATAGACAAACAGTGTGAAGGGAAGGCCAAGATCATGCTCTTGGTCTTTTAGGAGCCAGGAAATAACGGGGGGGTGGGGTGGGGGGAGGAGGAGACCACTAGTCCCAGGAACGGACCAAACGCCGTTAGTATCCAATGGCATCTGTGCTCTTTCGACCCCATCGCTAGACCCTTTGCGCCACGGCTCTGTGAAGAGCGCCCCTCTGCCCTTAGCAACGTGCCACAGGGCCATGTCCAAGGGCCAGAGAGGAGTGAGGAGGGAGGAGATTTGCTCAAGATCAATCTCAGCAAGGAGGCAAGGATCCCGGTGACTCCGCAAACCCTCAAGCTCTCATTTCTCAGGGGAGGACTGAATGTACTGATCCTTTTAGTTCCAGAGACTATTTCCAAATAGCATTTTCGTCCTATGGAGTAGAACTCTATAAAATGGCTGGCAAATAACCAACATCATAATTGCAGGTAGGGCTTTCTTAAAAGTTTGGCAGGCTGATGAAGACCTCATTGGGTGGGATTTTTGGGAGGAGGACTCGGAAGACCGAACTGAGATGTGAGATCTACCTCTGTCTTTGCCGTGCTCACTCGGCCTCAGCCACACTTGTATGTTTCCCTACCTGCATTGTGCTTTGCCAAGTATTTATCTTTGTACTGCTTCTTTTTCTTGCCGAACCAAGTACAGCTGGCCTGCTGCTCCTGTTTGGTTTTCTCCATGGCGATGCAAGCAACTCGCCTAGCAGAGGGAGAGAGAGAGAGAGAGAATCTCCTGTGAAGTTGTATTTTGACAAAAATCATTCATTCGAAGACTTGATACAAGCCTGTATGAACATACTCCTCACAGACTTTTCAAGATAAAGCTTGCTCTTTGGTTTTCATGACAATTTACTGGAGATGTTTTAAAAACACAGGCTTATAATAAAATGACATCACATTCCCGGGGCACCTGCTAACTGATAACGCAGCCGAGCAACCTAAACTCATGGCTGTGGCATGCGGTGGACAGAGCGTGGGATTCTGAGTTCAGACAGGTCTGGTTTGACTCCTGGCTCTATCACTCATGACCTTGTGCCAATTTAGTGTTAGGTGCTTTCCTAGGAAATGTACATGCATTAACTCATTTGACCTTTCTAACAACACATGAAATCATGTCACCGCTTTACAGATGAGGGGATCAAAGAACTGAGAGGTTCAATAATTTGACCCAAACCACACAGCTTACATGGGTGAGTGAGGGCTGGCACCAGAGCCCACACGATTGGCCAGGACATTCTATTGGCAAGTTTCTTAGCCTCCTGGACGGCTGTCATAAAGGATCAGAACAAAAAAATGGAGAGAATGTCCTCAGCACAGTGGTAGGCACGGTAGATGCTTAATAAATGGTACTATTACTACATGGCAATTCTAGTCTAAGAAAAAAACTAATTAAATCCACAGTTGGAATTACAATCAGAGAATTTTAATTTTCTATGTGATTATAGTATTCAGTACAAATGTTATTAAGAAGTTGTCCCCTTAGGTTTAATCTAAGCAAATATTTGCCTTTTAGGATATTGCCACAGGTGGTTTTGCTTAATGAGTTTGCTTGTGGGCCAACCAGGGGTCCCCGAGTGAGCCACATATAAGGAGAATCCAAAATCACCATCAGAATGACAAGTGATTTTCCAATGAGGTTGTACGGATTTACACTCCACCAGCGAAGTGTGAGAGCTCCTGCTGTTCCACTTCCTTGTCAACACTTGGTAGTATCCATCTTTAATTTTAGCCACCACAGTGGGCAAGTTATTGGAATCAGGCTGTGCTTTGAGTTTGCATTTCAAGGATTATTAATGAGATTGCACACCTTTTCACAGGTTTATTGGATTTCTTCTTCTGTACAGTGTTTAAGTCTTTTGACCATTTTCCTTTTCCAGTTGTCTTTTTCTCATTGATTTGTAGGAATTCTCTATGTGGTCTGGATATTACACCTCTGTGAGTTATACATGTTGCAAATACCTTCTTCCATTTTGTGTCTTGCCTGTTTACTCTTCCTATGGCATCTTTTGATGAACATAACTTAGTTTAAGTCAAATTTAGCCATCTTTTCTTTTATGGAAAGTATTTTTGATATGTTAAGAAATCCTTCCTTGTTCCTGAAGATCTTATTCAAGTTTATAGTTTTGGCTTTCATATTTTGGCCTTTTTTTTTTTTT